GAAGCTGCTTTTTCTCAGGCAGGTGTGACCCGGTTGCACACACAGAATTGCTGATAAAGTCAAGTGAGGGTTTGGTCGTTTACTTATAGCGTAGTGCAAATAATGGTGGTATTGAAAACCCATATAACACCTTGAGGCATCAAAGTGGGTGGGTTTCTTCCCTGAAGTGAATGGGATTCTCAGGGCTGACCATACAAAAGTATAAGTTAGAGCCATGAAGTGGCTGCCCCAAGCACCATCTGCTCCTGCAAAAGCAGCAGGCTGGGATGAATGCCCAGGAAGGAGCGTGTGCCATCTCCAACGAGTGGAGATCCCGGAGAGCAGGACCTGGGAACAGCTTTTGGGGCTGTATCTGCTCAGAAGGTTGTGTTCTTGGGTGACCTGAAGCTAAGGTTGGCTGCTGGGCTGCTCTTTCAGCTCCAGTGGTAGCTGCTTTTCAGAGCCATTCGCCCAAGGCCATGGTATGTTTGTGCCTTCAGGCCAGGTCCCACTGCAGGCCACCACAGATCTTCCTGGTACTTGGGTGTGGTGTGATGATCTTAAGCCTCATGTTAGCATAAGGTATAGATAAAATTCCTGCTTGCACTTGAAGCAACCAAGTTTTAGGAAAAAAGAGTTGCTGTAGTTGAATTTTTTCTTTTTTTCTTCCCTAATTCTGTGACTACTGCACAGAGCAGCTATTTTGTCATTATTGTCAGTCTTAAAATCTTGGCTCTGTTTTCTTTCTTGTAGTCTTGTGTTGATGTCCTTTATGTTCCCAAGCCCTCTGTTTAAAAGTATTTCCATTTGATATGGTTAACAGCTCTTGAGACTGATCTCTATTAGGGACTTGAAGCTCAATTTCAAATATTTTTGTGGCTCTTCTGGTGGGCCTTGCTGGGATAAATTAAGCCTATTTTTCCCCTGATTGCCTCGTTGGATCTCTTTGTAACTTCACCTTGTATTCCTTTCTGTTCAATACTTTTCAAAGTACCGAGAGTTTAAAGAGGTACAATAAATCCCAGATCAGTTTTTAATGACCATGGTAAGCCTGCTTGTAATATGTCAGTAAGCTGAGCCTAAAAGCCAATGGGGAATAGACCATTTCTGCCTTAGTAATTGCCTCCACAGAAAGATTTATAATGTCATTATCTGAATCTACAAGAAATAACTCATAGAGCTGAAATACCCTAAAAAAATATTACAATTCTCTTAAAATCTAGTCATTCATAAATGCTAAATCATAAAACTTTTTTCAAGATGCTTTATGTTAAAAATAAAACCCAGTCAAAATATAAATGTACTTTTCTTAATCAGATTTTTCGTTCTTTATGTATCTGTTTTCAGTGCTGTAGTTTGGGCAGAGGAATGGTGCAGTGCACAGCTCAGATCTAGCACTGTGCTGTTGAGAACAGACAAGTACTGAAAAACCACAAAGAGGAAGAGCATTTCCAGCCATTTTTCTTTATTTGTGTGTGATTCTGGGGGGGGAGGAGGGTTAGTTAGCACTGCAATAAAATTAATTTTAGCAATAAAAATCACTTTCCCCTTTCTTCCACCATTTTCCTATGAAAAACCATACTAAACATGCTGATAAATGTACTGCAGTACTGTTCTAAGCCATTCCAGCCAGCTTCCTTTGCCCTTAGCATTCCCCACTCAGAAGGTATCATTCATTTCTTTCAAAAAGCAGGAAATGTACTCCTCAATTTGTCTGGTGTTTAATAAAGTGCTAGAATTACCATAGCTACCCTCATGTTCTGATGCTTTAATACAGTGTGAGATTTATACTAATTTCAACCAGACTATCTTCAGTACAGAAAGCTTGTACACTTAAAAGTGCACTGTCAGGGTACTTTTTTTTAATTGAGTTCCTATATAAACTAGGTACTGATTTCTAATCTAGAATCTGATCTCTATGGCCCTGAAGATGGAGTAGTTTTAAATTTTTTCTTATGTACATGTTAGTGTTTTTTTGAGTGTTTTTGCTATTGCTTTTTAATTGTTTTCATTAACTGCTTAAAGAAATAATTGTGGTCATTGCTGGAGATGTGTTCTGATGCAGTTGCTTCAACCTGATCCAGTGATTCCTAAAGCCAATGAAGGATTCCCAGTCTTCCCAGTCGGATACGATCTGATTGTACTCTGAGAGTTGTATTAAACTTCTTAGCACTTATAAATCATATAAGTTAACACCCTTTTAAAGTGTGGAAGGTTGCTATTAATCTGAATAGGTCCAGGATTTTATCTCAGAGCCCACACACCTCAGAACACAGACATCTTTCTATAAATAATTAACTATTATTCATTTCTAATGAGCATTATAAACTTTCAGGTTCTTTGCTTCAAAGAAATTAGTTTCCCGAAAAAGAGTATTTCCCGATCAAGGCACCGTAGCTTTCATAATACCCCCTGAATGCTAGATGTTGTAGAAACAACACCAAATTTCTCAAGTTTAACAGTGATTTGTAGGTAAATCATACACAAGTGTGCTTCTGCCTCTGGATGTGTACATGCAAGTCCTGTCAACATTAGTGGGAATATTCCTTTGTACAGAGGAGAAAACACCCTGCAATGTGCTGTTCAGACGTGAAACTCAGTCTGCCTTGTAACTCGATTTTCAAACCCTTCCCTGATTTCTGAGGCAATGCAATGTATACTTTTCAGCACTGATTTACACCAAGAAGTCAATGACTTAAACTAAATGGAATTGGAATTTAGGAACAGCCTTAAAAAGATGTTGGGGGGGCGGAAATCAGATCATCGTTTATAAAAGCCTATTTTCCTTATTTTTCTTAGAGCTGCTGCACACTGAGTCAGATTTATAATTTGACGTAAACTTGATTCATTGTTGATCATTAGCTTTTAAACCTAATCTGGATTGAGATCAGAGTGTAGCGACTAAAATAAAAATCCTTCCACTGAATTTAAAACCCTGTGAAGGAATTGCAGTAGATGCAAGGTGACAGTCTAGTACGAGTTGTCTTGGGCCACGTCCTTAACCAGGAGGAGTACAAATTTGCTTTCATCAGAAATGTTGATAATAGGATTGTAGCAGAGAGAACCGAACCACAATAAAGGATGAAAGAATATCAAAATATTCTTTTGCTCCTTCTGTTAGAAACTCATCCTGTAAGAGTCGGGGCTAAAGAATGAATCAAGGCTGGTCAGGATTAGTCTCTGGTTATTCGTTTGGTGCCATGCTTTTTCTCTATTGTATGTAGCAAATGTTTCCTGACAGGCTAACTAGGAATAATAAAAGGATAAAGGACTATGGTGACATACTGAACGTTACAATTATTATTCCTGTCCTCTAAATGTGGTTTACCTTTAGCAGAGTCAGAGGTGGCTGTTTGAGGAGTCTAGGCAAACCAACATGAGCAATTCGGAATGCGAGTGCTGGCTGTAGCTACAACTGGTGCTGTTGTCCTACAGCACCTGCCTCTGAATTTGCCTTAAAATTGATAAGGCTCTGAACAGGTAAAGACTTGTGTGGGGTTGTCTGTTTGCAGGATTTTTTTTTTAATGCATGTTCTCCTTCTTGTATCATGAAAATGATTATTGAAGTTTGCTGTTTTATCCTTATTCCAACTAAGATGCATTTTTTTGATGAGATCTTTCAGAAGATCTTTAGCCACTGTCAAAAGGATGATGTTAGCACCTGTTGTACACATGAGCTTTACCAGGATCTAATCCACTTGCAAATCTGGATCTAAGGCCTCTCCTGAAGTTGGACTGCTGCCTCAATGCAGAGTGGCAAGCACGTAGGCGTTTAGTGCTCATTTCCGTCGTCTGACGTAGATGTGCATGCCAGCTTCTGTGCAGCTCCAATTTTTCAGCAGCCAACATGAGAACTTGGGCATATGGATCATACAGTTGTTTCCTTAAATCAAAACGCTTTTCCCTGTTCTAAGATGTACTGTGCATTTTCTTGCCAACACTCGAAGAATAGGGTCTGATCTAAATTACAGACTATTGTGCTTACAGTTCGCCACCAAATATTCACTATCTTCTCCACCATCCCCTTTCCTGTCCAGGGAGACAGCTGCAAGCACAACAACCACTAGAAAAGTCTGATGGTAAATACAACATCTGGCCTTAACAGCACGTTGTTCAGCATGTAAGTTGCCCCTTGGGAATTACCCTGTTGTTATTGCATATTGCTTCAAAAAGAGTGGCAAGTTCACAAGGCCTCAGCATTCATGAAGCCCATTTTTAAAGAACGGTTATGCCTTATGGTATTTAAGTAAAACTTCGTTGTTGTTGTTGTCCCCAACATGAGAGGTGTTGAATTAGCAAGCTGCATCTCTGGGCTGTGTGAGGAAATGCCTTTGCCTGTATGGCTGGAGTAACTACAGGGTGCGACATCTCCTGAGACTTCCAGAAAGTGCGAGAAAGACCCAAATAAGTAATAAAAATACAGAAAATTGCTGTGGGATGCTGTCTAAAGAGGTTGTTTCTAGGAGGCAGACAACTACAAAACACTGCGTAGCTTGTTGAAAACATCCAAAGCGGCAAGGAAAGCCTTGGGGAGAAAGGCCGCTATGGGGAAGGGTCGGCCATGGGCCTGGTGTTGGGAGCCTTGCTGTTTCAGCTCCTATGCAGTTGACATGGTTCTGTTTCATTGTTGGGTGACAGAGGAAAGAAAAATAAGGAATTAAGCAAATGGCTTAAGCTTAAAGAGCTTTTAAGTTATTCGGAAAATAGGACTGTTCTCTGAAGAGGTAAAGGGCTGCGCTTCTCCTTAGCTTCTGATTCTGTGTGGCACTTTCCACACGTAAACCTGCCTGTACCCACACAGTCTGTTTGGCTAATTGCTCTGAAGTGTATTCGCGTGTAGTGCTAATGACATAGGAGTATACAGGCCAAAAGAGAGATATTTAATAGGGGGTATTCGTCTGTGGTGGTGGGAATGGAGCTCGCCATATGCCAGGTGGTGAATGTGTCACGCGGATGAATCAGCCGCGCTGCCCCTACCTCTGTGGTGGTTGTCCTAAGGAGGCTTCAGCCAACACCGCGAAATGGCGGTCGCACAAGCGCTGCGTTGCTGCCTGTTTGCTTTTAGTTATGCAAATTTGCTCAAGAGAAACGATGCACTCAAAATGCCCTTAAAATTTTAAAACCTGCAGATGTCTGGTGTGCGAGCGTTTTGAAAAGTTAGCGCTCTCCAGCCAAATATGGCACTGCCTTGTTTTGGAGTTAGAAACTGCTTCTGGATTTAAGTGAAATTTCTCCAGGCAGTAACATGCGGCAGCAGTATCATGGTCTGCTGTACCGAGGGGTGTTCTGCTGTCCCACCAAGACAGCAGAGTTGAGGAGTGACAAGACCAAAGCCCATGTGTATTACATGCGATGAGGTGGTTGCTGAGGCTGTAACCAAGAGCTGATGGTCTTGTACTGGATGCGAATTATGTATTGCTTTGTATGTTGCGTTTTGCAAACATTGCTTTTTTTGTGTGTGCGTGTAAACTGATTCTTTAGGCAGCTCATATCAACAATACTTACTATAGAAGTGAATTAAATTACACAGGAACCTGCTTTCATCTGCATACTGGTTTAATAGTCAATTAATTTCCAAAAAATGTTAATTAAAAATAACTTTCTAATGTGCCTAGGTCACTTTTGAGAGGAAAACCTAACCTTCTAAATCACTTAGGTTTAGCACTACTGGTCAGAGCGATGTTTAAGCAGCTTTTAAAAAGCCTTGACCTTCACTCTGTGGGTAGAAGCTGTCTGTCTTTGCTCAGGTGTTCAGCAACTACAGCCCTCGAGCTGGGATCCTACTTTTGGCCTCAGACACAACTGTGTTACAAATAATGGTGTGCCTGAAAAAAGCAAAGATCACTGTATGGTTTGTCACTGTTCAAAACACTTATCTTGGACAAAATCTTGTTAGGCCTGGAGACTTTAGGCATAAAGCCTTCAGTGAGGATCCTGTGTATTTGACCTCTGCACTTGTCTTTCACAGCTGTCACTGCAGTGGAATAGCGAGGATTAAGCTGAGCCCAGCTCCTGGTGTAGCTGGGGGCAGGCTTGGGTAAACGTTGCTGCCCCTGCTCCGAGCTGGCACATCCATGTCCACCAAACCAGGAGCACAGGGAAAAGGGTCTCGCGTCGGCCTGAGCTTGCTTGTACAGACGTACTGCTCTACTAGATCATTGCATTTAGCACTGAAACACAAAGTTAGAAGCAATAGAAGCAAATTTGGTTGGCTTACATTAATTTTACTGTTTTGAATCTATCCTTTGGCTTGAAAAGGGCTACAGTATAGCTGGCAGCTTCCACAAGCACTAAATTAGCACGCAAATACTGAAGAAGGATGTAAAAATCAAAACTCTGATTATGATATAGTAATTTTATAGAGTTCTGCATTGCCTTAAATCCACTGCAGAGCTGCTGTTCATGTCAGTGGGCAGTATATGGCCCATCGTTTGTCAGGCCATTTAAATTCAGTGGCTTAGCACTTAGTCTTTTGGAAAACATCCTGCGCGTTTTGATTTACAGCACTGTAGAGCTGATTAAAAAGTCACTCGTTAAAAAGGTATCTTTTATTATAATTGCTAAATATTTTTTGGTGTAGTTAGTGGGTTTCACCTTTAAAGTGATGTATATCTCCTGGCTCTTGTCCCAAGCTGGTGGATCAGAGCCACTGGCTGGTAGATTTGTACTGAAATGACAGCAGATTTGCAGTGCTTTGTGCTTTCATGTGCTTTCTTTTGCTCAAGCAGGGGGATATTAGCCTACTCTTGTGGGTGGAGTAGGATTTGAAAACGTGGCTTTCACTCTTCCCTGCTAGTTCCCTCTTTAAACTGGGAGAAGCTGTTTAACTTCTCTACTTCTTTCACAAAAGCTGTAAGAGTACCTATTAACGCTCTTAGAGTCCAAAGTCATCTTTGCCTGGGGAGTCTGTCCAGATATAACGATGTCCTGTTCAGTAAGACACTGTGGCACACACTGCTAGGCCAGCATAGCCCAAATACCAAATTTCAGCAGTTTGTGGTATTGTTGATTATCATCCTTTCATCTGGCCTGTCCTGAATTCTTGCAGGAATATCTGTTTTGTAGGCTGAGTCTGATGCATTCTTGTCTCACGAACAACCCTGTCAATGCAATCGGGACAGGCTGTTGAGCGGAGAGGGTCTGTTGGATCAAACTAGGAGGAGCCATATAGTGCTCTGCTCTATGGATTAGACCAGGGTGGACAAGGCTTGAGGTCAGTCAAGGGAAGAGAAAAAACAGTCCACATGGTAGGAAGGACTGAGAGAGGGTTTCCTGTCAGGAAACATCCCTGAAGAAGCAATTTCATAGCTGAGTTGGCATTTTTAACTCCTCTTAACTCTTGAAGTCTGCAGTCAGCCCTACAATATCGTCTTCAGAGTAAGATACTGCTTTTCTAGCAGAACAAAAGAACCATTAATGACACCAATTAACCAGTGTAATTCTCATTTACACCTCTTTATTACCTTCCACACACAGTATGTGATACATTATACATCCCATTAATTGTTAACATTACACGCAAGTCAAGATCTTTTATTATACTGGGTCATCTATCATTGATACAGAGATATAGATATTTTATAGCTGAGCCAACTAACAGTACTGTAGAGCAGAATCTATAACCATTTTCACATCAAATCTGATTGTGTTACTAAGCCCTTTAAATGTGCTTAGTATGTCATTTGGCCTCCTCTCAGAAGGTATTTTACAGAGGGGAACAAAAAAAAAGTGTAATTTGGGGGTAAGCTGCATTTATTTTGTATTTTTAAATAGTGAATTTTTCCTGTTTTAGAAGCTAGAGAATTGTTCTGTTACGTTGTAAATTCTGCATATCTAGCAAATGTAGTAGCTGTCTATTAATTCTTGAAAAGCAGAGGAATTAGTGAAGGAGCCCTATCTAAAGGGTAACTTGGAGAGAATTATTTCTAAACAGTCAATGATTTTCCATTTTCAGAGGACATGAAAATCAAAACTCTAATGCAGTAAATACGGTTGTGCTTTGCTCAGCCTGGTACTTGCCATAGAGCTCCAGCTGTCCATGGACCCCAACGTCAATGGTTGCCCACAACTACTGATGCTATTTAAAGTCAATGACAAACTTGTGAAGGTGGACTTAGACGCTCAGGTTGTATGACTGCTCTTGTGTACTCATCTTCGGCTTGGAGTTATTTTGCTCCTTGTGCTCTATTAGAGAGCTCCATCAATGACTGGAAAATTGTTCCCACCTTCTTCCCTGGCTTGGGTTTTGGTGCCTCATGGCCATGGCACCAACACACTGTGTTGGGCAGTATGGGACACTGGCCCTGCTGAATCAGTGACCCCTTCTCTTCTGCCAGAGAAGCTGCAGCCTGGCCAGGCTGAAGGGGGACTTGCCCCCTGAGAACCAAGCAGCAAAGGGCTTTGAGCTGTGACCTGGTGTCTCCTGCAAGAGGACATGGTGTTGGCTTCCTCCTCGCAGCCTGAGCTCGCGTGGACGTTGCTCCACCAGTGCCTATGGTGAAACACTCACCCAAGTGCTGGATGCCTCAAGGAAACGGTGCCAGCTCGCAGGGGGCAACACGAACTGCCGCTCGGCGAGGCCACCGCCTCGTGTACGAGCGTGTCCTTCCCGTGTGGAAAGCCAGGCTTGCTGGTGGGCTGCGTAGGAGTCTGTGGGACCAGACTACAATGTCCTTGGGAATGTTGTCTTCCTTAGGAAGGGCCTGCTCAGCTGTGTTGTAACACGTGAGGGCTCTTCTCTAAATAAATTAGGCCGGCAGGTTATTTGGGCACTTATCTAACCTGTTTTAAAGAGGCTGTCTTGGTGATTTTGAAACTTAATTTGAGGGGTGTCTGTATGGTGGATCACGTGGCTTGCACCAGGATAAGCAGATGAACAAAGATGTGAACTGCCTCCATCCGTGGCCACTGGAAGGTCCCCTCAGACAAGAAAATACAGCTTGATGTCCAACCCTATGCCATGCCAGCCACAGCAAGGTCTGTCAGCACCCGTCAGCTGGGAGCTGGGCTGTAAAATGTCCTGTCCTGGTACCTGCGTTACTTGTTCACTCACGTATAGCTCTACTGCAGAATAACATTTAAAACAAAGCATTATGCATTTGCTGTACTCACGCTACTGATAGCATGTTCTTACTTTAAGCACAGTTTACAGAACTTGCCTCACTCTTGTTTAGAAAGGTTGGACCCGAGAATTATCGCAGTCTGCTCTGGGGAATCTTAGGTTATTTCTCACATGGTGTTTTGCCCCTCTTGGTCCCTGTTCTGTCAAACGGATCGCTCTGGTTGCGGTGTACCCAACACATGTGAAAGCAGCACCCTTGGATCCAACCCCAGCCCCAGACAACTGCTTCACGCTATTCTAAATCCAGCTCCCATTATCTATATTCCTTAATTAGAGCAAATGAATACTAATTATTCATGTCTAGTGTTTTATCAAAAAGAATGGCAGCAGCAGTTGGACTCTCTGCATGTTGGACTTGTCCCCCTCGTACCCGAAACATTGATATATTTGCTTTTGACGTGCCGTTCTGATGCATGGCTCGGATGGGAGTGATTTGAGGCTAACACTGTGTCAGTAAATAATTAAATGCTGTTGACTGAGCAGTTCACGACCCTAGATAGGGAGCTGAGGATGTTAAAGGCAGAAGGAGGTTTGCATTAGCATAGCCCCTGCAATAAATAGTGCTAAGCCATATATAAATGTGTAGAAGCTTAGTATTTGAATAACTCCCTAAAGCATTACGAGTTTTCATTTCTAACTACATTTGTGATTTGTGAACACTTACATTTTTAATTAATTGATGCAATTCACCTGATGAAATCAACGTGGTCGCTGACTGTCCTGTAAGGAAAGCTAGCACGGACTGTGGAGTCTAACAGTTACAGCATGAAATCTGTATAGGGATGTGAAGCAAATTATGTAATACTGGGAAACAAAGTGCAATAGAATAAAATCATAAATGCACATGTTCTGTAGGTGTGCATATCTTTCTCTTTAAAAATGGAGCACATAAAGAAAATCTTGCAT